ACTTCCGGGAAAAGGGGTAAGTTGACAGTGTTTTTGACGAGTTAGACAGATGGTCGAGGCTTGTAAGGAGGGTATTCGTTGCAGTTTTTCGTATGTATTGAAATATCGCACTTAAGGCCCGTGTCGTCAGTCGTCCCTACAATTGTAGGGCGCGTTTATGGCCTCCTTGATTGTCATACTCCTTTCTCTCCTTCAAAAATTTCTAGATTTCACTTGTCCCGTGTCAGCGTCAGCGCTCGCCTATTGTGAAGATATGTTTCCTTTTTAAATTGTAGGAAATTTCAGGCTGATAAAACATGATATAACTCAAAAGCAAGCACAATTTGATGCAAATAGATGTTTGTGACATAACCTCAAAATAGAGCGCTGACACGGAGAAGTAGAAAACTATGACAATCAAGGAGGCCACAAACGCGCCCTACGATACGGCCTTAGATATGAGTAGTACACCGGCCATACTAGATACGGTTCATCTATCTATCTAACTGGTGGTCTTGAGCTTCTCTTGAATCGACGAGCAATCTCTAGCATGACTTCCTTCTACTGATATGCCAGCGGCTTTTGCTCTCCTCCAGGCTCTTTCGCCAAGGCCTGTCAACCTATAACACCTCTTCCTCAATTGTGCTTTCAAATATCCTTTACCTCATTTTGTTGCAATTTGGCAACGGTATTTATAACATTAAGGAGCTGACTTAGCCCTAACTTGATTTAATTTATTAAGTCCACTTTGATCTGAACGAAAATGGCTGACAAAAAAATGTAAGCCACTGACTTCTGTACAATTTTTATTATGTTCCTTGGATTAAGCAAATATACTTTTTTCTCGCGAATTTTTTCGTATCTTGCTTAATATTTGATGAAAAAAAAGTCCACCTAATTGCATATCCTTGGAGCGCACAAGGAATATGGGGAAAAGGTTCTTTTGGATTTTTTTTCATAATTTTTCATTACTAATGATGTAAAAAAACAAATTAACACTAAACCAAATTACACTACACTAACATCTAAACTAATGAGTTTTACTAAACTAAGGAATATTTTTCCCAAATTTCCTTGTGTGGTCCAGGGATATTTATTTATTTATTTATTTATTTATTTATTTATTGAAATCCACCACCAACAATGTTAACCAATTACTGGTGGCAAAACATCAATAGAAATAGTAAAAAAAAAACATATAAAAATACAACGAAAACTAAAAACTAAATCATTTCACTGCAAACTCTCTTAATATTCGAAATACTTGTGTTGAACAAATCAAATGTACTCTGTAGACTATTATAACATGAACACATCGAGTACAAAGGTGAGTGCAACAGTAAGTTAGTTCGTCGGGTAGGTAGGTAAAAAGTGAGTGCATTGCGAGTAACAAATTTTGGAGCATTAAATTTAATCTGTGCTAGAAATGATGGACAATCATAACTGCTATGCACTACTTTATGCAGGAATATTAGCGAGTGAATCTTTCCTCTGTTATCAAGACTGATAAACTTGTGTTTACGTAACAGGTCTTCCTGTGGGACCCCAATGGGTGGGTACGTACCGTCAATTTTGAATGAAATAAATTTCAGAAATTTCCGCTGAATCTTCTCCAGAGAGCCACAAGTTGTAACATAGCATGGATTCCATATTAGCCGTCCATATTCTAATTTAGACAGTATGAATGAATTATAAAGCATAATCAAGGCATCTTTGTTAATTAACTCCTTTGAGTTACGTATTACAAATCCTAATAATTTGTTGACAGCATTAATAAGGTAATCAATATGAGGATTGAAGCTAAGCGACATGTCAAAAATCACACCCAGGTCCTTGCATTCTTGTACTCTCAGCAGAGAATGATTGCCAATTCTGTAGTCAAATGCAACAATATCTAGCTTTCTGGTGTAAGACATAACACTACATTTACTGTAGTTAATTGGAAGTCGATTTACAGCACACCATTTAACTATTTTGGCTAGGTCTTTTTGTAAGTGAGCACAGTCAGTGCTGCAGTCGACATTGGAAAACATTTTCAGATCATCAGCATAGATTAAGTGGCTGCTGTCGATGTCGCTAACAATATCGTTTATGAACAGTATGAAAAGCAAAGGACCTAAGCAGGAGCCTTGAGGTACCCCTGAGGTTGGGAAGAATTCAATGGATTTGACACCCTCATATTCAACATATTGCTTTCTTCCTGATAGATATGACTTAAGAAAGGATAACAGCTTGGGGGAGAATTCAAAATAGCTCAGCTTCGTTAACAGAATACTGTTATCAAGTTTGTCAAATGCTTTACTAAAATCTGTATAAATTACATCCACCTGGCTTTTAGCATCTAATGCAGAGGAGAGTGACTAAGTAAAACAGGCTAGGTTAGTTATGGTTGATCTACCCTTCATAATGCCATGCTGGAAGTACTTATTTGGGAATGTGTATTGTGGTATAGGAAATTATGAAGCAAAGTTTCTAAGGCCTTGGAAAAAATACATACTAGGGTTATCGGTCTATAATTTTCAACCTGTAGTCTATCACCCTTCGTGAAAATGGGACGCACCTTTCATTCACACCAAATCTCAGGAAACGTGTTAGTCTTTAAACATAGGTTGAAGGTCTTTGTCAAGGGATGAGCTAAGACGTAGGCACAGTCACACACTAAAAATGATGGGATTCCATCGGGTCCGGAGGTAAATTTATTTTTCATTTGCTTTAACACTTTAAAAACATCTTCTTCGGAAAAGCTCTGAAGTATTATGTTAGTATGCAAGTCCGAAATATTGATATCAGTTGCGTTCGAGGGCATAGTATATACAGATTGAAAAAATAGCGCAAAAGCATTAGAAATTTCATTGGGTTTGTCATACTGCTTACCATTATAGTTTACTTGGCTGATTGTGGAAATTTGTCCCCTTTTATTACACATAAATGACCAAAAATTGTTCGGATCCTGAGATAGGCTACTTTGGATATCTACTAGATATGTATGATATGCGTTGCGCTCATCGCGCTTAATTTTGAACCTTAAGTCTTTGAACTCAGTGTATGTGATCAAACTTTTATCGTTTTTAAACTTTTTGTGTAGCAAACTTTTTCTTTTAATGTCTCTAATTATTTCACCGTTAAACCAAACTGGAAATTTGAGAGATCTGAGACTTGTCCTAGGGACACACATATTAAAACTTTTACGAAGAATGTTTTGAAATGTTTCCAAAGCTACGTTTACATCTGTTAAATTGTCAAGAAACGTCCAATTAACCTAGCTTATTTGTTCATATAGTGCTACAAAATTGGCTTTTCTGAAATTATATGATTCTCTGGCGCATTTGATACTCTTTTTAGAATGGAAGCTCATGTTGATTATCATGACAAGCGGAGGATGGTGAATATCCTCAGGTAGTAGGTCATCATAAGCCTTAACGACGCTACATTGTTTATTTGATAACACTAAATCTAATAGCCTATTATTCTCATTCCGAACATCATTGAATTGAGAAAGATCGAAGAAACCCATAAATGACTGAATTGTTTTCTGCTTGTGAGAAGATTGGAGGTGATTTTCATTAATAAATTCGGGAACACTAAAGTCACCTAGTATAAAACACTTTTGCCAAAGAGGTAATCAAGCGATTCTAGATGTTCAAAGAATCTTTCATAGCAGGAAGTACTCGTGTCAGGCGGTATGTATATCACAAGGAAATAAGTCACTTCATTTTTATATCTAAGTTTGATTCCAATTATGTCAATACTGGGAATATCGTCTCTGATAAAAGTCATATTTACCTCTGATATGCAAGTAAGTGGACTTTTTTTCTTGAAAACCAAGCAAGAAAATCATACAACAAAAAAGTTACGTTCAAATTTGCTTTATCAAAATGATATAATAAAAATCAGCGGCGTATATTTTTTGTCACAAATATTCGTTGAGATCTCGCTCAAGATGCCACTGGACTTAATAAATGTAATCAAGTTAGGGCTAAATTAGCTCCGTAATGTAATAAATACCACTGCCAAATTGCAAAAAAATTATGTAAATGATATTTAAGAAAATTTTGAAAAACTGTTTTTTCAAATTTATCTTGAAACGAAGAATCTGTTCAGCGTCCAGAAGGACAATGTTTGTCATGGCGTATAAATAGCTCCGTTGTTATTTGTTTCTAGACTCGACATCGGCCTGCCTGTTCTCAACAGTGGGATTTTATGAGAGATCTTCTGTCGACGAGCAGTGCCACATGATTTGATGTACAAACAGAAACTCCGAGCGACATTCAGCGATCAATGCATTGTCACACTGCTGAGCTGCTATCTCGTGCCGTTTCGATTTTTCATCTCAAGGATGTACTCTTCCATCCCATTGTAGATGACTAGTGTTACCGACGGACATACACCAGACTCAGTGAAATAAATATTTCTCCAAAATAGAAGGAGAAAAGATCTCATTTTTGATGATTCTATTAAAAAAAGAAATGCATTTCCTATTCTTGAATATAACTTCTCATAAGCAAATTACAACTTCGAATGCAACAATGCTGCCGTCAACTGCCATCTTTTATGTGACAACTGTCAAAACTTGAACAAGCTATGTCATTTCATTTGAGTTTGGCAGCCGTTCAAAGTAGGCAGTCTCATAAATTCTAACAAAATTGGAGAAAAGTGAATTTCGTGTTCTAATTAAACATTATTTTTGCGTAAAAAAACATCACTGCAACCAAGGAAAGACTTGACAAATACTATGGGGACTCTGCACCATCTATTTCAATGGTGAAGAAGTGGTTTACTGAGTTCCGTTGTGGTCGAACCAGCACAAGTGATGCCGAACGTTCAGGTCGCCCAAAAGAGGTCATAACACCAGAAATCGTGGATAAGCTCCAGGGGATGATGTTGGAAGATCGGAGAATAAAAATACGTGGAGTAGCTGAGGCTGTAGGCATCTCTATTGAGCGGGTACAACACATTTTACATGAATACTTGGACATGAAAAAACTATCCGCGAGATGGGTGCCGCGATTGCTCACAGTCGACCAAAAGCGCGACCGTGTGACCATTTCAAGGAATGTTTGGCGATGTTCAGCCGCAATCCGAACGAATTTTTGTGCCGTTTTGTAACTGTAGACGAAACATGGATTTATCACAATACTCCAGAAACCAGAAACCAAAGAACAATCAAGACAGTGGGTTTCACATGGTGAGCGTGCTCCAAAGAAGGCCAAGGTGAGTCTGTCAGCCAGAAAGGTTATGGCCACAATTTTCTGGGACGCATGCGGTATCATTTATATCGATTACCTTGAGAGGGCAGAGATCACAAGACAGTACTATTCAGAGCTGTTAGACATATTCAACGTTGCTTTGAAGCAAAAACGACCGCATTTGGCCATCAAGACAACGCACGGGTACACATGTGTGTAGTCTCGATGGCAAAAATTCATGAACTGGGCCCCATCCAGCCTATTCTCCAGATTTAGCCCCCAGCGACTACTTCCTATTTCCAATCCTGAAAAAATGGCTGGGTGGTAAGAAATTTGGGTCATCATTGAAACAAACGCATATTTTGCGAGCCTTGATGAAAACTACTATTCGGAAGGAATTAAGAAATTGGAAAAACGCTGGACTAAATGTATCGAGCTAAAAGGAGATTATGTTGAGAAATAAAATGCTTATTTGCCGAAAAACATATTTTTCATTTAAAAAGTAACTGACTTATCAAACAGCCCTCGTATCTTGCGCCAGCAGGATATTTTTTTTTTTTTAGTCTTTGAATATTCCTTATGAAAGAACAAAATATGAGGCCCGTCTCACCAGCCAGAGCCAGAGGAGCGGGAGCGCGATGAATCAGAGAAACAACCGCAACCGAGTTCTAGAAGTTACATTAGAGTCGGGCTTCCGGGTATGCCTTCTACGTGGCTGAGTCGGCGGGCGGCGAACGGAACGCAACAGGGTGAAGTTGTGGTCTCGTTCAGCTAGAGCCGAGCCGGCTGTCGTCATCAGCGTTGGGGCGGCACAGCGGCGCGTGACGCGGCGGAGTTATTAGCGGTAGCGGCAGATTATCGTTTATCTTGGTCCAGGGGATATATGTGTCTTCTACTTCCACGTCACTGGCGAGGAAGTATTATCATCGCAAAAACATTCGAAAATGAGATATTATGTTTTTTGGTTCTCACATGATATCACATGTCTCAGAACATAGAATATGCCTTCGTTGTTCAAGAAGGGTATCATAGTCCCAGTACCCAAAACAAACAATCCACGTAAGCCGGAAGACTTGCGGCCCATCAGTCTAATGCCAGTTATCGAGAAAATTTTATAGAAGTAATACTGCATGAACAATTGGACAATAGGAAACATACAGTAACAGTGGTTTTAGACTTCAAAAGGGCGTTTGAGACTATTGACAGTGATAAATTACTAACAAAATTGCATCACTATGGATTTAAAGGATCTCTATTCAAAATTCTACAAAGCTACTTGATTGATGGAAGTCATAAAACCAAAATTGGATCTACATTATCAAGCTCAAAAAATATTTCTGTGGATATACCACAAGGTAGTAAGCTAGGAACACTGCTATTTATTTTATACATTAATGACATTTGTAATATTTTAGATTATTGTAAAAATTAGATGTTTTGCAGATGATACACATTATTATACATATCAGATGAAAACATAGACACTGCTTTAAAAATCCAAAATTCTGACTCGGAAAAAATTATAAATTGGTTGAATACTTCTAAAACAAAATGATATTGATAGGTAAATACCTAAATGAAAATAATATACCAGTTAGCATAAATGGTGAAATAATTTAAAATGTTGAATCAATGAAATATTTAGGTATATATATTGATAGTGAAATAAAATTTGAGGATCACTATGAATACATTATTTCAAAAATTGACAAAAAACAAATTACTTCTATAGGTCTTCTCATAGTCTTAGTACATATTTCGAAAAATAGTTTATAATACAATTATTCTACCGCATTTACTATATTGTCCAACTATCTTGTTCACTGCCAATGATGCTGTATTCTTAAAATTAAAGTCCTGCAAAATAAAGCTATGAGAATAATATTGAATAAAAATAAATACACCAAAATACAATCTATGTTACAAGAATTGCAGTGGTTCAATATAAAAAACTTCATATAATATTTGGTTCTTATTTTTATATTTAAAATAAAATATCGTCTTTTGCCACACTCCACATAGAATTGAATAATCATTACCACAACTATTATACAAGAGAAAATATAGATTTTCATTTACAAAACTGCAATAGTAATACAGGGTGCGGCAGAGAAGATAGACGGTTTTAAAAAAATCATAAAATAGTTAATTTTTACTCGAAAACAAACTTATTAATGGAATCGGGTTCACAAGGAAATAGCATTTGAGACAGTCGAGTGTGAAAAATCACATCAGGCATGTGGTGGCCGAAATCGTTGATGCAATGCTGGAGGCGTTCTTGGAAGTTCGCGTAGACTCTCTACAACATCGCTCTCTCAACTTGGGCGACTTCCACGCGAATTTCGCCCGTCAATTCGTCCAGAGTTCGGGGCTTGTTCTCTAGCCTTGAGGTGTCCCCATAAGAAAAAATTGCATATGGATAAATCTGGGGACCGAGGAGGCCAATGAACATCACCAAACCTGGAAATAAGGCGACCAGGGAAGAGAGGGCGAATAACGTCCATGGATGCTCGGGCTGTGTGGGCGGTCGCCCCATCCTGCTGGAACCACACACGTCGGATTGGAAGACGTCGCAGTCGTAATTCAGGGAGAAAGAAGTTGGTGATCATGTCGGCGTAGCGCTCTGAGTTCCCGGTAACATCACGACTATTACCGTCTTCGAAGAAGTAAGGGCCAATGATGCAAGTTTGCGATACAGCGCATCAAACCGTTACTTTTGGGCTGTGCAGCGGTCTTTCGTGTAACTGTTGGGGATTTTCATTAGCCCAATAACGACAATTCTCCTGGTTAACCATGCTGTTTAGGTGAAAGTAGTCTTCGTCACTCATAAACAAAATGAGGTTATCATTTTGATCGATCAGTGCTTCCATCTCACGTGCGAAGTTCATTCGTTGTGCATAATCTCCGGGCTGTAACTGTTGCACAATGGCCAATTTGTAGGGGTGAAAGCGGAGATCCATATGCAAAATTCGCCTTACCGAACGATCACTAAGGCGAAGTGCAGCAGCATGTTTCCTGGCAAATCCAGTCGGACGCGTTCAACATTTTCAGGAGTTCGATCTATTCGCGGTGCTCCTCTTGGTCTTCTGTTGATCAGTTCACCACGCCTGCGAAGTGATTCAACCCAACGGAGGATGGTGTTTCGAGAGGGAACAGCTCTATTCCGATGAATGATGAAGTGGCGACGAAACTCACGCTGTACGACGATGAATGACTCATTATTTCGGACGAAACAATCATAGGCGAAAACGCGGTGCTCCACCGTCCAAGGCTCCATAACGACAACTGGTAAAATAATGCTAGGATCTCGCGAGTCAAACGGCACCCTCCCCACCTCTCTCGTAGACGGAGGCGGAGAATTCTACCCATCCCAAAAACGTCCGTCATCTCTGGCGCACCCTGTTTAACTAGCAAATAAATATTTCGGAAAGGATTACTTGAATCTAATAAACTGAATAATGATATAATGTCTACTTGTAATTTAAAGATGCTTAAAAGAAGATTAAAGGAATATTTCATCGACAGTAAAAATTCTTAGAGGTGCAAATTTTGTTTCTTCTAAATATCTATATGTTATTTAATTACTTAGTTTTTTAAAAGAATGTAATTGTAGCAATCATACTAGATAAATCTAAAACAATCAGCTGAGTGAGCATTTACGTGTGAACGGTGACCTTTTGGAGAGGCAATGGCGGTATCAGAAAGAATCATTTTTGTGAAACTGCATGCCAGTTTGTATGTACAAAGTGGAAAACAGATATGAGTCTTTGAAACCATAGACAGAAAATTGTTTTGCTGAGAAAATGCGAATTGTATGGAATTAACACTCTTGCGGGTGAATGATTATATCCTCCCTGTTTTTACAAAGTGGCGTATATCCAAATTGATTTTTTTGCAGGAGAGCGGTTTAAAGTTTTTTCAAAGTTTCCGGTAGACATATCTCAAACGATACGAAAAATGTCTCTTCCATTTCTTCAATTATGGATTACTTTTGGCCCATTATATAATAATACCAAGGATTTTTGGAAAAATCATCCTAGTTGGTTTCAAAAATTAGAAAAAAACATATACGCCTCTTTGTATTTTTTTTTGTTGATGAAATAATATACGTCCTTACCATGTGAAGAGAAAATTTCAATATAACATGGGTTGTATATTTTCATAAAAGGAAATAGATAATTTCTTACAAAACACTGAATTAATAACTAAAAACAAAAATAAAAAACATTCATTATTAGGTATACTTAATGGTTTAGATTATAATAAAAATTTTTGTAAACGTCTTGCCCAATAATAGGCTTCTTTCCTTCACACAGAGATATCAACGAATCGTATTTCTTCTCAGGAATTTTTAGTTCACTTATATTTAATGGTTTAAGATTAATATTGCTTGCATTAGCATTTCTGTGTAGGGAAATACGTCTGATGATGATTTGTTTTAAATAAAATTGCTTCTAGATTATGTTTTTCCACTTTTATTTGGCTTACTTCTGACCACTTAAATGCTTCTCCATGATCATCTTTTTTAATGGACAAAACTCTTAGGTCTTGAGACAACATTTTAAAATCCCAAAAGTCCTCATACTGCATCTCGTTTACTATGTAAGGGTGTTTCTTTCTAGCCAGTCTAAAAACAGGTACAAGTTGGCTAGGAATGAAGACATCCCGTACCTTTTTCACTGATGTTGAAATGGCACTGTGAGCTGAGTCACCCTCACTTTTCGCCATGGTTCTTCTTAAAGAAACAGTGAGTTATGACTTCAATATTTTTGCTTTTGCAAAAAATAAAGGTACATTGAAGGTGTGACTGAATTTTTGTTTTGGCCATAGCACCCGTCAGAAAAGAAAGCTACAGTTTTTAAACCTTCTTTATCGTAAATTTCTAAAAACTTGAAAAGGCATGTTGAAATCTCTGATGAGCCCCTCTTGCTCTGACCCTCATGCCATGTCTAACATTGGCAATCTCTGTTTGCGATATTATGCACTGTAAAATTGTATACGCTTAATCGTTGTTTGTAGAAAAGCGCACTTTCTTTACTAATGGGCAGATGAATTACCTGCTGCAAATCAAATACCGCACATAAACGTTTTGAGTTCTTTATAGCCATCTCTTTAAGGTTTCTCTTTATTTCACGAACTTTGTTTTTGTTTGCGATATGCGACTCGTAGTCTTTCTTCAATATTTCATCGACTAAACTGTCGGCAGTTTCATGTATCCTTGCGCATAAAGTGCAAAGGTCTTTTTTTGGATTATAAAATGATAAATTCATACTATCAAATATTCTTCTGTAAGTAGCCAAACTTCCTATATTGTTGTTATCCTTTTTTTGTTCTGTTATTTCTTGCTTATACATTTCGTACATCTTAACCAAATTAAGTTCTGAGTGGAGGTATTGCCGTGACGATTTTTCCCTGCAATAGTGTGATTCCACTTTGGGAAATCTTAAAATATGCGCCCTCATATCAGAATTGATTGCCTGATCTCTTTCTTGTAAACACCTTCTTCTTCCTCCTCTCTTTTCTTTTCAACTGTACCATATACTGAAAGCTTAGATAAGGAAGTCCTCATCATCTTTTCGGAGATTGCCAGAGTTTTTAGAAAAAAATTCTTAGATACAGGTAGGAGAACGCCATTTAAAGTAAGAAAATAACGGTATGTATGTTGCCTTCTGGATCCTCCCTTTTTCACCTTGGATTCCTCCTTAACTACATGGCGACAGATAAATTCTCTTTGCAGTTCTAATTTTCCCAATGAGTAAAACTCTTTCATTATAATTTCTCTTTAGTTTTTAGTAAATCTGACACATTTTTTGTTGTGAAGTGTACAGTACTTGCTATTACATCTTTCACCAACTTGTTTAGGGGGTAATAAGTTCATCGACTTTGGTATGATGTAGGCCTGCCCAGAATACCTCTTTTGTTTCGTCGCTCTACACGAATCCTTCTTCAAATGTCTTTCTTCTGATTCTTTGTTTGACCCATCAGCTAAATAGTCTTCAGGTTTTCTTTTAACACATAAGTAACTTCCACTGGTTAAAACTCGGGGCGCAACATCTTGACAAACATCTTGTAAATGTAAATTTTCTATACTTTCGAATGTATGGGACAGGCAATCCAGCGGATCTTCCATAAAGTGATCATAGCACAAAAGTATGACAACTTATGACTTATGACAACTGCTGAATATCTCGTCTGAACAATTGGTATTTTCACATTATCTGGAATTTTGCCCTTCCTTTTTTTTTGTGACAGTCTCATTATTTGTGCTTTCACTGACGGTTTTGACAAATCAAAAGAGGGTCATCTGACAGATAATCTGAGTCGTCGCGCGATCTTATAACATTACTATCATTGCTATGGTCAATTTGTAATCCTGGAATCATAAGATAAGTATTTTAAATATAGTTTAAGGAAATAGACAGCAAAAATCCTTGCATTTGTTTTTCAAATTCGCAGCTCCTTTCTCAGTTTCTTCACTTCTTTCAACAAGTGTTTCGCTCTTTTTCAAAAGTCGTGCTAGCGGAATATCAGAATCTGAATTTTTATCTGAAGATACAGTTTGCTCAGTAGCTTCGGCATTGCAATCAGGTCTGCTGTATCTAGAAGTTAACATTTCATTTTTAAAATAATTTCTAGGTGTACTGAAATTTTTTAAAAACTTACCGTTTGTTATTTTTTTTCTTTTTCTTCTCTACTACTTCCGTTTCAATACCATCTACTTGCCATAGATCAATAATTTTACCATAGTACCATCTCTTTGAGTAGTACATCTTAACACCAACATCTTTTTTAAATGTCTGTCCTTTTTTTACTGCCAACGACTCATTTGGCGCAACTATATTTCTTTTTCCGTTTCTCCACTCCACTAGCACATCCATTTCTTTCAATTAATGTGGGAACTATTAATCATATTAATCAAATAATCCATACAAATCACACCATGTAAGAAATAACCGGCACGCAATTTAAGGTTAAAAATCAGTAACTAAACATCACAAACAGGCGTATATCAGTATACGCCTTGCGAGTCTCGACAAGACTGTAGAAATTTTTTTGCACAAACAGGCGTTTATCATATACGCCTGTTTGAAATTGTACATGTAATGGATAGTGAAATGGACAAACTTACGTTATGGTTAAAAACAGACAATATTAAATTAAATGTGAAAAAACGAAATGTATGAGCATAGGTTGGAAAAATAATTACAAGAAATTAGTAGATTTAATTTTTTCAGTGAAAATTGAGAGAGGTTACTTGATTTTCTTGATAGTTTTAAACATTTAGGTATTATAATAGATCAACAACTGACATCCAACAAACATATTAACTATATGTCTCAGAAATTAGACAAAAGTATTGAGAATTTTCGTGACATTTGTCACAATCTAAGTCACTGGCGCTGAAGTGTAGCCTATAATGCAATACTTTTTTCTTATTTACTTATTGTGCATCACCTTTGATTACATGCACAAATGAGGAAAAGCAAAGATTACTAATTTTATTAAATAAATGTGCACGGATTTTGTTAAATTGTAGCAGGTAGATCCCTATACAGGATATGCTAAAGACATTTTATTTTTTAAACGTACACCAAATCATCATAGAGGAAAATTTAGCTCTTTTATATGAAGTATCAACAATCAGGCTCCACCTTTTTTTGAACAGTTTTTAAAAAAAGATTTGTAACCCAAGATTATGACAATAAATCAAAAGAAAATTTCTATATACAAAGACTTAATTCTAAAGGTATAAAAAAGTCAGTGTTTCTTGCAGGTCTAAAAATGTACAACAATATGCCCGTTTTTGTAAAATGATCTCGTAATACGGTCATTTTCAAAAAGATACGTCGCAGAGGTTATTTTGATGTGATGTGACGACCACTTTGTAAATTCAACAAATCTTTGTAAATAATTGTTATTATTGTTTGAAGTATCTTAAAGCTAAATAAGTATTTTCCGTTATATTCTATTTGCATCACAAAACACATTCAACTCACTTCCGTCGAATTGACCCCTCTATAACCGGGAAAGATAATACTTTGACACCAGGTTAGTACTGTGCCAAGAGCAACAAAGCTTTATAGATTTTGAAAGCAATTCTAATGGCGGAGTTACAGGCAAAAGACGAAAAAAGAACACTTCAACTTCGGTTTTTGATGCTTCATATCATCCTGGGTACAGAGTACTCCAGTTCATTTCTTCTAATATTGATATTTTCCATCTTTCTGTCATATCCTGAAAAATCTGGATCAAACACTGTGAATCGACCGTATGGATTACGGGATTTTATATGTATTGATTATATTGAACTGATTTATCCTACAGGAGGGACTCAAATTTTACCGGACTAGCACACCACTGAGATTATTGTTGATAAGTATTTTGAGAGTGAGCCGAACGTCGAACTCACAGAAATAAATTGGAAGATCGCTCTGGTTTGATACATCGGGACCCGGAATATTGAACTCGCAGATTTTGATCCCCATTAATTCATATACATCTTAAGTATTTCAACAGTAAATATGCTTTCCTTTATGAATAAAGCTCTGTGAAATTGTGGTAGCTGCATTACTTGGCAGGTGTTTCTATTTGCAAACTCTTAAATCACATGTGTGCAAGCAGGGGAAAATACTTTTACGCTATCCAAATCCGAGAAGTACTTTCCAAGTCAAAGTCAGTCCAAAGATTAGCGAACACACCGACAGACAAACAAATCGACAGACCGACGGAACTGAGTGAGATGGTTTTTCGTTAAGTAAATGTCATATAATAGGCAAAAAACGTAATATCCCATTTTCTAAACCTTTAACGATTACAAATAAATACAGATCGTAAGGCCTGGACTATGTGTTCTCAGTCCGCTCTCGCAGGCTCCGGTAGGCAGGTGTAATATTGATCCGGATGCGATAGAGGTAGAGACGCTCCACCGCCGCCGCTTCGCCGCCGGTACGCTGGGAGCAGTGCGGCCTACTCGCGCTCTATGGCTCTAAACTCACCTGAGGTCTCACCTCTCTTCTCTCTGCCAGGCCTACTCCCGGAGTCACGGGATACGCGCAGCGCGGCCTATATTCAAAATCGACACGCTTGCGTTGTACGGATTATGAATTTTTAAATTTGCTCCTAATTCGCTGCCTCGCGGACTTTTCACGAACATTACTTTTATACCCTGCACGACAGTCTGACGTCACTTCTACGCTTAACTTCAGATGTTGGAACAGACAGTGTCACGTAGGCAGAAGCCTAAAAACAGAGGCACCGCGGCTGCCGTAAGGAGTTTAAAGACACCTTGTTAGTCCAATTTTTAAACTTTGCAAAGCTAGTAGAACTGGGAAATGCCTCCTTAGGCAGATCGTTCCACAATTTGATACTCTAGGGACAAACGAGTGGTTGTACTGGCCAGCACGGTTAGAATGGGAGGCCGAAGTCATCCGGGCCTTTCTGGCAGGCGCATTTCGCGGCGGCATCATGGAAGAAAGCTCCGAAATAGTGGTAGAAGAAAGCTAGACCGCCGACGACCCGTTGGTGCTAAAGAGTCCCGAGACCGTTCGCTAGAAGAGTAATCGATCAGTCGCACAGACTTTCTCTGATCAGTATCGAGCATGGATAGTGTACTTGGGGCAGTAGCACCCCAAACGTGTGAGAATTTCTGGAGGCTGGGTCGCTGCTCGTTTTCTTCTCTCTAGCTCACCGGCATGTAAAACGAGGTTATCAAAAAAAAAACTGTGGATCAGATAGCTCGTTCAGGAAAGGTAGTCGGTAATAGAAACAATGTCGGAGCCGAGACCGATCCCTGGGGAATACCCACGTTGATACAGAGGGCTGAAGAGGAGAGCCCGTCAAAGCAGCAGATATCTTGCTATCCGAGAGGAAGTCAGCCCCCCATCAACAAAGCTTCTCTGGGAGACCATAGCATGGAAGTTTGCATAAAAGGGCAGCATCTCACATCTGATGAAAGATAGTTCATAGTACGTTCTAGATTTCCTTACGATCGAACATAAAAAATTAAACTAACAAAATTTACATATACCATTTATAAAATCATGCATATCCTAAAACATTGAAGCCCTTAGCATCACTAAAGAGATTCCTTCACATGAGTGCAACGCACTCTATGAAAGTTGAGACTTTCTTTTTCAGGAACATCTAAGTTTGGAATAATGAAGCTAGGGTAAGATAAAACCGCAGCAAGTTTCCAAAGACAAAAGGTACTCACTGCTTATTTGGTAAGACATTCCAAGCACCACCCTATTCATGATGTTGATGAAATTGTCGTTCGGTTCAAAAATCACGTTTATGCTTGACTTTTGCAAAACTCGGGATTGTCTAGGTCTTCTACTATACCCACATGGTATTCGTCCAAGAGCTTCAGTTTCTAGGATGGAAATATTCCAAAAACGATATGAAAACACTTGCGAGGCCCCATCGCCTTTTTAAAAGCACTCAATGTAAATTAACATCATATAAACAAATTAGTTATTTCTATAAGAGAGTTTGCAGTTTTCGATTCTTATAATTCACTTTGTAAACATACAACTCGGCTTACCTATATGACGGGCTCACGTAATCGGTAGGCAATGCCAAATTAGGTATTGCAAATCCAATCTTATCATAAGGATCGTTGCTCTTGATATCACGAAAACGTTGGATCAGCTATGGCATGATGTCCTCTTATGCGTGGATCTGATCTGGCCTTGAGATATGCGTCGTAATGACGGTTCTCCTCTTCATCTCATAATGTCAATGCGAGTGTTCCCCAGGGAGCGATCTTGGCTCCGAAATTGTTCCTCCTACATATCAACGACCTCTTTTCCTATACAATTGATCCGATCCATAGCTTTGCTGACGACAGAATTCTACATGCATGAATTCAAGCCGGTGAGGTGGACAAAAGAAGACTAGCAGCGACTTCCTCTTTGAAGAGAGCTCTGAAGGTTATCACTGATTGAAGACGCAACAATCTGGTACAGTTTAATGCTTCCGAAAAGAAGTGCAGTAACTTGACCAACAAGGCGTCCTAGCGCTCATCCGGTTTCGACGAATGGCGGAGTCCTACCAAAGAGCCGTCCATTTCGGTGGTTCGTTGTCCAGATGACCAAGGACTTGACCTATGATGAACACATCTCATGAATAGCGGCAGCTGCTGACTCTTCTCTAACGGACAGTCTCGGGACCTTTTCTTACCGACGAGTCGTCGGCGATTTAGATCTCTTCTACCGCTACGTCAACAGGCTCTCCTCCATGATGACGCCGCGCGATGTGCTTTCCAGACAAAACCGCCTAACTTCCGCTCAGATTAACGCTTAGATTGAAATAGACACAGAGGCATTGGTTATATCCTGAAAGTGACTGCTGCATACCAAATCTAATACACACCTAATATCTCGGTTATATCAAGCCTTTGGTTTACACGTTATGGGGCATGTTGGATATTTTTACAAGAACGCTATGTGGAGGAAAGTTAACTTTAGCAACACTCTTAATAAAGGATTATTGGAACAATTGAGGTAGAGCGTATCTAAACGTTAACATAATCTACGGAGTTTATCTGTTAAATTGTTTGTTTTATATCCCTTAACTTCAAAAGCAGGTTGACTATGCAAATTCCGCTAAGATATACTTATTTTCACTGAGTGATTAATATGCGAATTGTTTCTGGATAAATAGTATATCTAGCGACAACCAAACCCTACCCTCCTCCGATCAAAAATGAACAGTTACCACCCTGTACAAAATTAGGCACGAATATTTGATCACTTTCAGACTCCTGACGAACCAGACATGCAATACCCGTGATTATTCCTCATGAAGCATATTCCATGCCTCAAACGAACAATGCCTGGGCGCGGCATAAATCCCAGGAAAGCTTTATTATCAAGACCTGGAAAGTTTGTGAGTACAGGAAGTTCACAATCTAAATTCACGTTAACAAATTTTCTATATAACTTTCACGTTGCCTGAAGTCTACTTTATTTAAAATTACAAAATAAAGTTTTACTACAGAGCTATTGAATGCCACAGGTGCACAAATCCGACTATTTTATAACCCAGTACACGTAACTCCTTTTTGAATACGAAATACTACGCTGAAATCTGTATGAACAATATAGAACATCACGTTTATAGGTTTATTTTGACGACTTTTAGGAATTCTTTGATTTTATTAGTCTTGCTATTCGCAGTAAATGAATGTAAACTGTGTAAACTGGAATATCCCCGCCATGTACTATCATCAGACTGCCAAATCTTCCCACAGAAATTGTGAACCTCAAGAAGAAAATTCACCTGGGTCTATTCATATACACCTACATTTATTGAGAATGTGTTAATCAATGGTTAGACTTTGCAGCTTCAGCATGATTGCTTATGAGTTGGCAACAGAAATATACTGAACATCACTGGATAGATTGATGACCTGACTCATGTACTGCTGGACATCCAGACTTAAACCTTCTATTGCTGATGTGATTTATGCGGTTCTACTATATTAGTATGTTTATGAAATATCGTGTATATGGATATGCAGGAGTTACTTTTAGTGCTTAATTGTATAACCTTAAATGTCAAAATGAAGTTTAACAGAAACGTTTTTTTCTACATAATTATTTACAAACCCGTTATGACAATGGATGATATTTCTTCGAGAACTAGTGATATATCTATTGTAGGTAAGCAATCTGCAATAAGAAATCCATATCTTGTCTCAAAAATTTTAAGATGTACCCGCTTTGATACTCTCCGAATCTCGCAGGTATTCACATTTAAGTTTATATAGTCAGAAGTTTAGTAGAGATATGATTATTATTACTAACCATAGCTTTGTGAAACGTTTTAGTTTTTTAGATGACGATACAGTATATATCACTAGTAAAATAGTAAAATTTATAAGTAGGGTATTTAATCTCCAGGACAATTGTTTGAGCATGTTTTATTTTTTCTTGATTTTTGCTTTAGTTTTTTGACTCTTAAGGGAAGAGCACTCGACCAGCTTATTAAAATAATCTCCACAAGCTTCTGTCAATTTCAACGATTTTTATTGTGTCAAAATTTGTCAATCTGATTAACATACCTTTACGAATCTATTCTAGACGAAGAGGCCCGCAGTGAAGCAAGCCACACAGGTACTTGCACAAAACAATACAAGATCAACTTGATCAAAACATGAATTATTATTTTTAGGAATAAATCTGCCCTATCACAACCACAACACAAGATTTTCAGGTATGTACGGGAATATTTACCAAATGGAAAGTTATACACCTAGGGTAAACTGGTAGTTGATGATGAATAATGCAAACAGAGCAAAAGAGAACAGCTTTGCAGGGAAGAACTTACTTTATTCTTATTGATATTAGATATTCCTTTTTCTTACTCATGTCCACTTTTAAAATTTCCAAACTTGTATATTATCTACCGCAGGGTGGAACAGATTGCTCCATTAGTGACGAGATTAACCCCCTGATACAGCATTCACTTTTCAGCAAAGTTCAGGAAAGCACTTTACGTAGACCTAAGTAGAAGCAGGATTACTTCAGAACCACAGAATACGACTTTCGAAGAATTTTGGTCTCTGGTGAAGTATAAAAGGAGAGACAGTGATGGCTTTAGCAAAAGCAGCCGAGAGTTTAATTTCGATGAAGATTACAGCTTGAGATTGTGCAAAGACAAGAAAATTAGTGACATGCCTTCGTCTAGGAGGATATGCGGAGGTGGTCTTGAAAATAGTTGGCTGAAATATGTTATAGCATTCTGTAAGGTTCAAATGTCGTTACTACTGATTCTATAATGTAGCCAATTTCTTTTTAAAAATTTTCTCAATGGGTTTTCCCTTTGCGAGTTGATTTTGTTTTTAAATTAAGTAAAATATTTAAATATGCGGTGGCACATTTTTGAGCTAGATATAATCTGACGTCAAGTTACACAATGTCTAACAAAAAAGGAATAACAGTTATTTTGAGGAAGTGGAAGGGAAGGACCAAGTTTTCTCATGACTCCCTTACAATGGGAATCTTCTACCTACACGAATATAGACTTTATATCTGAGATAGATTGTTTATATCCCATTCCAAGGGTAATTCAGTTTATCCATGTTTATTTTAGCTCACAGTTAAATATTTTACCTTTGAACGGGAACCTTTGAAGACATAATATTAATATTATGTCAAAATAATAAATTTGCGGTACACTCACAATTAACGAAAAAAAAATTGGAATTTTTTTATAGATTTACATTTATTGTAGCATATTTATTATCAATTTATTTATAGGTATCGTAGGTGTGTCATACACTCTTATGAATAACATCACGACAAGTGAAACAGTGAGAGCCCTTTTCAGAGAACTGAGAACCTTTAAGGTAACTTTTGATGCTATTCCAAAGAGCTGTGTAAAAGAGGCATGATTTTTGAGAAAAAGCCTGCACCTTCGGATAAAAGGCTGCTAGACTGTTTGTTTATTATGTAATATTCGTTTCTATCCGTTTCTATCTTCATATGGGTCTTCAGGGTCTGACGGGGTCGATTTCAAATACATCCAGCTAGCATTATGGAACCTCTAAAAGCAGAAATTTGTTGCCCATCTATTTAGAGTGTTTCTTAAGGATTATGCCTCAATTATAAGGACGCATTCCTGAATCAAATTTAGGTAAAATGTAACATGTGTCCAAAAAAGTCTGGATTCCAAGAGAAGATAATTATGAATTCCAGTGGCGTTTTGGGGGACGATCTCACAAATAGTATTGACAAAATAAATGTACGAAACTGTTTTTTAAAAAACTATTTTATTTGAATCGAGTATACAAATGTATAACTTTTACGTTTCTTGGTATCTAAACTCTATAGAGTATCTAAGTGGTCGTTCTAAGATTGTCCTATCATGCTGACCATAAACCACCTACCGCTTTTATGCAGGACAAGTAATGAAGTTGTTTAACTTTTTCCTCAAGAACGAAATAGGCTACAAAGTGATAACAGGACAAAAAAAGCTGTACCATCAGCTGCTTAATCTGAAGAAACATGTATTTTTTAGCGACAGTAGCGACATATTTTGTTTATATTATTCGTGAGACTGTCCCTCATTACCATCTTATAGTCAAGGCTCAGTTAGCATCTCGTTGCAAAGAACGACATTGCCAAAATTCAATAAAAAGGACTCAAGGATCTTTGATATGTCTATAAGAAACCGAAATGTTGACACGTATCTTGAAAACCAGAGTTTTTAGGACACATGCTTATATGAAGTTTTGTACTTACATTTGGTTCTGGAATACCTAATTATCTGGGTTATATCAGCTATATCTCGACTATATCTTGGCAATATCGCCAGCAATGTGTAGCACGTTTCTGGTCGGTCAGAATTTCTCACTAGAAAGACTACAAAATCAAGCAAGGATGTCTGACGAAATTGCACGCATCGCTGCACCTTACTTACATTATGTTAAGTAGGACTGCAATGGTTTGGCAATACATGAAAATAGGCGGAAATGTCAAAAGGCTAAAAAAATATTGCCCGTTTAGGAACGCCATTACATGCACTTGAATAACAACTTGTTTGTATTTGCCTACAGGCACAAATTTCAAACTTTTGAAACTATACGTCAATAAAGGATAGCAAAAGCTCCTTCCGAATTCCAGAATTTTTATTATTATGCCATAAAATGCCAAATGTTCCGAAGCACAAATTGTGCTCCTAGAAAGTTTGTTGACTCAGAAAGTTAAAAAATGTACCAATACGAAGCGTTGCTCATAATTGCACCGTCACAGATCCAGTTTTTGGAAAAAAGGCGGCAGCAGCAATTGCTGAGATTACGTGGGTAGTAAAATGCCAACAGTCAGACAGAGAGGCATACGGATTGCGTGGTATGGACCTCCCTGATTAGGCATTACAAGAGGTGGAAGAGGATTTGTTGCCCACAATTTTGATGATTGCAATAATTCACTCGAATACGCGTTAAATCCAAAAATGGTGAGAATAAAACAAACCACACACAAGACTATAGAAAATATTTTATGTGTAGGAGGAGATCCAGACCGCAGACTACCCAAGCAAAATGTACCGGATAGAGAACACGCTGATGAATATGAAACGAGAGCAAGGTATCGTAAATGTTTTATGCGACATCCAGGCAGACAGCACTGTGAGGAAAGCCTGCTGCCGAGCCTGAGTACAAAAGCGGCCCTTTCACATGATTTTGTTTAGCTGTGGAATTGAATCTGAAAGTACCGCGCCCTACTTCTTATCTTCCCACGTTAAGTTATACTATTATGCATATTCTTTGATGTTGAGCAGTCGTTCGAGGTATGGGATAAACAAGACTTCGTACCTTTCAAAAGCATATCGAGTGATATCTATTTCAAGAGTAACATTATTCCAAAGGATTGCTTTACAGGAAGCAAAGCCAGACAGTATCGTATTTTGGACTTTCGTGCCCGAAATATGAGACTCTCCAGAAATACGGCATATTCAATAAATCTCTACCTGTCACTCGCTACAGATTTACCGTAACAAGCAGCATTTCATCATGACTGATAGCGTTGCAATAAGTAGTCGAATTAATAGTATTAGTCACCTCGTTGGACTCCATTGTCTGGAAGAATCAAACCAGATATATGTTTTAAATTCTGTTTATCATAGGATGTTTCGACCATTGTGGTGGCCTTTTTCAATTACAATGACAAAAATAAACATTATGTGCCTAGATATCTGTTATTTCGGCATAATTTTACTTAATGTTTCAATAAAAAACGCGACACGTTAACAATGATGGAGCACATACCCAGTGCCATGGTTGGTAGCATGAAGACAGTTTCTTGTTTTATCAGTTAAAAAGCGACTGGCTAAGAAAAATGGAGAAAATATTGTCTTCCTTCGTCTGTGAAAATGATAGCATAGTACCGATTTAGTGATACTTCATGTTCCATTATTGCGTGGGAGGTGTTGTGATCGCGAACGTTTTGTAATTATGGCTTTGGATTATCTGATATTTAGTTCAGTTTTGTTTGTGTCGAAAGCTATTCTCCTGGAAAGAGATATTTCTATGGCCTTATGCACTCATTCTCAAACATTTCACATGCGGCAAATTAATCCTTGCATTTGTAAATTTATCTCGATCGATATTTTCAGTCGATTGTCAATACAAAAACAAGTATATACAAATGCATTTATACGAGACGTTTACAGATAACACACTAACCAAAAGTTTTAAATCTAGATCTTTATATGCGAAGTTTGAATCACAAAATCGTGGAAGCACTTGAGACGTACAGCTCGGACAAAACTGGAAGGGCAGACTATGCTTTAGAAGCTGGCGGTAAGATAACTTTCATTCCTTCTATTTTCTCTAAAATAAATACTGATGAAATCGATTGATCTAAAAGTCCGATTCAATTCGGATACAGTTGAAAAACCACGGATTTATCTAAAACCACTGATTGAAAGAAAAAACGCCGAGACACGTCAAAGGATTTGTCAAGGGAACCTGTTAACCAAAAACTACTTCACCCCCTTTCACCTTCTGCCCCGCAGGGTCATGCGCTTAAAAAATTTAAAGACAAGGGGTACCGAATAATAGCTTCTTTGAAAGCTCTTCTTAGGTTCTTTATTCTAGCGTTTGATTTTTTAAATTCGGTCGATTCGTTTTCAAGAAAATTAGAAAAACCTTTATTTCAATTTGTTCAGCTAGAGAACAAACACACACGAAAATATCACTTTTTATTTCAATAAGTGTTCAAAATGTTGCCCGTTATTGGCCAAAGAATGATATAGGTGATGTTCAAACTCCTGATGGACATTTTCAAAAACATGTTGTGGGATACCATGACAGTTTCCGATGATCCGTTGACGGAATTCATCCAAACTTTCAGGTTGGGAAGTAAACACAATGTATCTCAAATGGTCTCGTAGAAAAAAGTCTAATGGCGTCAAATCAGGAAGTCTAGCAGGATTTCTTAGGCCTTCTTCGCCCTATCCATTTATCTCTAAACTCGTCGTTTAGCCATTGTCGAACCGGAAGAGCATAGTGCGGAGGAGCGCCGTCTTGCTGGGAATATATTTCAGCCTCATCAAGTATAGGGTTTCCATCCTCTTCGATTTATTTTCCAACATAGCCAAATAAATGTCTCTATTCATATTTCCACTAATAAATAATCGCCCAATCATTTTGTTTCCTAAAATGTCTGCCCATACATTCATTTTTTGGGCGTACCGTGTATGCCCTTCTACAAAAGCATGAGAATTTCCATTGCTCCAATACCTGCAGTTATGCTTATTAACAAATACATTTAGATAAAATGTGCATTCATCACTGAAGCAGATATTCTTTACATGAATGGTATTATCATTAATCGCTACGGTAATTTGTTCATAAAACTCAACTCGCCTATCGAAATCATCTTCGGTTAGCTCTGGCAATATTTTAATTTTGAATGGATGAAATTTATGGAGAGTAACTGTGTTCACAGAGCCTAATGAAATACCAGTCGCAGCAACAATATTTTGCGTAATGAAGTATTAGGATTTATTCCAAAGTGACCCAAAACTTCAATTTGAGCGGCTTCATCCAAAACCCTCCGATGATCAGGTTTTGTATTTGCAACATATCCAGTTTGTGTAAATTTAGTAAGAAGGTTCAAAACATACCTATGCGAAGTTATCCTCCACGGATGTCTGGCGTTAAACGTGACGGCAGTTTGCCGAGCACATTCATTTTGAGCACCATAAATTAGAATCATTTCCACTCTTTCGGCTAGCATGTAAACCATTTTTGAAGTAGAATCTGAATCAATAAATTAATTTTCACTATCCCAAGATTGTCACAAAAGTAACTGACGGCAAATTAAATTCTTTTTTCCCTTAGCAACAAATAACTAAACAGGTGTAGCAATACATACAGTCCGCCCAGGATATCTGTGTTGATGAAAAGAATGCGGAATAAAACTCGGGTTGTTATTTGGTTGTTGCCACGTCTAATCTCCGCAATAAAAAGTGATATTTTCGAGTGTTTTTGTTTTTTATCTGAACAAATTAAGGTAAATGAAGACTTTTCTAGTTTTCTTGGAAACGAATCGACTGATTTTGAAAAATCAGACGTAAAATAAAGGACTTCCAAAAATCTTTCAAACAAGCTATTACTCGATACCCCTTGTCATTTAAAATTTTTAGGGAATGACCCTGGGGCTGAAGTAGTTTTTAGTTAGAAAGTTGTCCCCCATCTATGATTTTTGATAAATCCTTGGTGGGAAGTTTTCAAATGAACACCTTGCATGTAATCTACCTCTGTGCGGGGGCGTTTTTGTAAGCTCAGACAAGCGTTCTTTAGTTTCGTCACGCCACCTTAAAAGTTCCCTCGATAGCGTATGAGTATTTATCATCTATGCTTTTCACCGTCAATGTGACAGCCCACTTCACATAGACGTACCATTTTGAGTTTACCTTTTATTGATCTTCGTATAAGCAGAACCTGAAAACACAACTAATGGCCAAATCGATAGTTTTTGCCAAAATTATTGGAGTATTTTGAGAGTTAAACGAATTTATGTGTGCAACAGGGCTGCGCTTAACGTCGCATGTCCTTTGTTTAACAGCCTGTCTGGAGGAGTATTGAATATTCTTAATAATGTCTGATTGTTTCATGGTGACGGTGACAATGCTGTAAGTATCTTTTTGTCAATCAATGCATTTATGTGTATTTTTTATGTAATTTCTATCCAATCGTAGCTTGTTAACGAATAATAGCTCTAAAATTGCATTTTTCACTTTTGCGGAGCGGGAAGTTACTATTTTTCTTGTCACCTTCGCTCTTCCAAAAATCTTTACTTGAAAATTCAGTTTGATGCAAAATTAGCTTTCAAGAAAATCTCGCAGGGAAAAAGTGACAAGAATGAAAGTAGTCAGAAAGAAATTCAAATTGAAACCGTAACATCCTACTGAATCTGTCTAAAGACGTTTTTGTTGAACACTCATGATCAACGGCACTGCTATTACGAATCTTGAAAAGTGACATTATGTCGATTTTTTTTACATTGTATTAGTTTTTTGTGACATTATGTAGGTTTTTCTACAAGATGTTAACTTAGCACTAGCTGATGGACATGTTGTGAACTAGTTTTGTAGTTGTACGTGTTGCATAAACGTCATGAGGCTTCGGTTTTCAATGCTTGGCTCTAATGTGATGTAAAATCTGCTTCAGAGGTGGCATTACTAGAGATAACGGCAATGCATAAGTGTATAGTGAGAATTTGTGTGCTAATAATATGTGTTGATGATAATTCCGTTGGATTCTTGACTCAAATACACTTACTTTAGATTCATAGCTATAAATGAGTTGCGCATCCACTTTTTCTTATCCATTCTGGAAATTGCATACCGTCAGATCGGGGTACTTCAGCCCTACGGTGCTACTTAAGCCCAAACTGTTAAAAAGTTTTCGCTTTCTGCCATGCCAGCTCATTCCGACGTATCGATGTAGTTCGCCTAGTAATTGATAGTGATATTGGTAGCACATTATCTGGGGCTCACAGCGCATGCGTAGATTTGAGGTTAGGACAACAAGTATCTATCTGCAGAACACGTGAATTTATTGTGTGCAAACTTTCTCACGAAACCAAGTTTTCAGGTAAGTTGCAGTTCTTTTATGTGATCAAATGTATCAGATATACATCTGAGATGATGTTGGAATACAAAACAAACGGTAAAAGTAATTTTTGTGGAGAATATATTCAAATTAATATATCAGTATATTTGGGCCCACGCTTTCGGGTATCTTTGACCTATGGGCCAAAGTATCCTTATAATGATTTTTCATTATATTTTTACATGACCAGCTATATTAAGCCATTCAATCGGAATAATGCGTTGTTTTTGACCTTATAGATACACAAAGATGCCTAACATCTATAGAAGGAAAGCGGGAAATCGTCGTTACATTGACTACACTAAAGAGCAGTTGGAGCAATGTTTAAATGACGTGAGATCCAAGATACGGACTCAACGGGCTGCTGCAACTAAGTATAAAATTCCTCGTAGTACGATAAAGAATAAACTGAAGAATAAGCACTGTAACAAACCCGGCCATCCAACTATATTCACAACAGAAGAAGAACAAGCATTTGTTGCCCATGTTACAGCGCTCTCAGAATTTGGGTCAGAGGATTTCTCAAGCGAAACAAGATTCTGTCTAGACGATTAGCAAACAATATTAAAAAAGTAAGAGCAGCAATTTCAGAGCCAATTATTGAGCAGTTTGTTGAAAATTTGACTGTAGAGTTAGACAATATTCCACCAGAGAATATCTACAACTACGATGAAAGTAGCCTTACCGATGACCCCGGAAAAAAGAAAGTAATTTGTAGACGTGGCACAAAGTATCCTGATATGATTGTAAATGCTACAAAAGTAAGTTTTTGAGTCATGTTTTGTGGGAATGCCGTAGGGGAAACTGTTCCGCCATATGTTATTTTTAAGGCAGATCATTTGTGGTCTACTTGGACTGAAAATGGACCACACGGAACCCGGTATAATAGAACCAAAAGCGGTTGGATTGATAGTATCACGTTTGAGGACTGGTTCGAATCTCATTTACTGCCAATTTTAAAGAAAAAAGATGGCCGCAAAGTGATTATTGGTGACAACTTGTCCTCCCATATAAACAAAAATGTGTTAGCAGCATGCGAGGCCAACAACATCAATTTTATCTGTTTACCTGCCAATGCAACTCATATTCTTCAGCCACTTGATGTGGCATATTTGAGGCCATTGAAGATTAAATGGCGTCAAGTCTTGCTAGATTGGAAAAATACTCCAGAAGGAAGAAGACTTCCAACCGTGCCGAAGGATCAATTTCCTAGACTACTAAGAACTGCACTGGATAGCATGAAAGGAACCCAAAGTTATCTCGTAAACGGGTTCAGGAAAACTGGCATTTATCCTCAGAACATAGAAGAACCTTTGAGTAGATTGCCAAGGCAAGAGAGAATTGTAGATATCAATCTTATTTCCGGCGCTTTTATGCAAAATCTGAAGCAATTACGGAGTAACGATAGCCCAAACCCAAAGAATCAAGGCAAGAAGAAAAAGCTAGATGTACCTGCTGGTCGATCGATTCGCTTAGAAGATATTTCAGAGAGAGAACAAGCTAGTTCTTCAGGAGTAAATAGATCAGATCCTAAGAAAAATGCAAAGTCCAGGAAGCGATTGATTAGTGAGGCTTCCTCTTCAGAATGCAGTGACACAGACATAAGTTTGGCATCTTCTACTGAAGATCTCATTCTGGCACGAGATCAATCTGATGATGAAGAGGACAACTTACGCCTAGCACAGCTTACAAGTCGCAATCCCAGCAGCAACTATGATGGAAATCTGGGAGCGCTTGGGCCATCAACGCAGCTATCAGAGCCCATTCCTCCGGATTGCAACACAAGGTTTATTGAAGATCCGCTTTTAAGAAACTGTTCGAAGTCTGACGGTCAAAGTTGCAGTAATGAAGACTCTGCCAAATAAAATTAATCCAAATGATTTACAAAAAACGGAAGAGGAATATCAAAATGGCGATGGTTACTGTATCAATGATCATGTATTGGTTAGGTGGAGTTCACGTGTTTATCCAGGGAAAATTATATCGATATCTGCAGAAGGAGCGCTAATAAGTTGTATGAAAAAAGGAAAGTTCTGGAGATGGCCTAACATAAAAGATGAGCAATTATACGCTTGGGAGTCAGTGATAATGGAGAGTACTAAAATTCGTGAAAAATGGACAATTTACTGTACCTGAACTTGATAAAATACGTTCTTTATAAATTAAGCCATAATATAATTGATTAATTGAATTAGTCATATACATGCTAACAGTAATTACACACAACGCGGGCGCAGTGGTGAAAGAAAAGAATTTAGAATACTGATCCAAACAGGCAGTTGAGAAAAAAGGGGCATGCGACCTTCAGTTTGCCCAGTATGCAATTGAGTTTCATCTCCGCACATGTCGATTTACTTCCTTATTTCGTATGGCATTGATGACGTAACAGCCAAATACCGTGAATAGAATAATTGTACTTATATTTATTCTTAAAGGTGGAAAAGTCGTCAGTCTTCTGCATGGCACAGAAAACTTTGAGAGAGCTAAAACCCTATTTGGAATTACGTTATGTGAGGGGACACACGGTCCAGGAGCAATGCTTCACGTAAGTTTTATCCTGAGATGCATTTATGTTTGTATAATCTTTGCAAATTGGTATGAAATCAACACCCGCCAAAATTATTACGGACGATCTCAGTAATAAACGGTCTTCCAATATTTGTAACTATCTTTTCCTGTTCTGTCATGCCTGTTCAATCTGTTACGGCCTGTAGATTAAGCGAATCTCTGCTATTGTTCAACAGCATTATCTGGCGTTTGCAAATTCCAGGCATCGACTTAGCTCCAGCGTATCAGACTTTGACCACCTAGTCTTGCCAGATGACCTGTTTTCTCGTGAACTGGTACATCACTGGTCGCAGGTACCCACAATAGAGAACAAAGCTAGGGGATAGAAGGGATATACTATACCCCTAGACAAAAGCCAATTCTGTCTATGGATACTCACCTCTTCTCAAACCCGCTTGGGTGTTAGTGCGTAATGTATAAATGCTTATTCCATCCACATTATGAGTGGTTTAAGAAAATCCTTCAGTTGAAGCTAATTGACGCTAACTGGCTGATTAACTGTTAGCGTAAGATTATGCAAATTACGTAATAGCATCAAACTGAGCTTATTGTAACACCTTGAAATTAAACAAAACGAGTTTGCATCTAGTTAAGAACAATTTACCAACCATTAAACGGTCACGAACGCTACGCTGAAGGAAGTCGAAAATGTGAGCTAAACCCCAATTAACCACCAAAGTGATGAATATTACTTGCTAACCAGTTTTCTCCATTAGTTCCAGTTGAAGTAAGGCTAGCGTGATATCCGAAGATAATATTCCCTCCAAGTATGCTGGAACAAAACCAGATACATCCGTCTGCATAACTTCTCTGGGAGGCCATTGGATGGAGGTTTGCATAAGAGGGCAGCACGCCCTAGCTGATCGAAAGATTTCGAAATATCATCAGTAACGACATGCGCCTTGCCGTACTCGTATGACTGAACAAGTTTACGCCATAACTGTGTGACGCAAGCTAGGAGGTCTACCGTTAATTGCTGGTATCGAAAACCATAGTATGCCTATGCCTATGCGTAATCAAGCCATGATATTCGAGATATTCCAGAAGCTCCCGATTTACGCATTTCTTTATCAGCTTATGATAACAGAAAACAGAGCTATGAGTCTGTTGTTGTAAGGGCCGGTCTTAGATCCTTTCTTTGGTACGGGCTAGACATAAGCGAATTTACAGTTTTCTGGGAAAGTGCCAGATTCGTAAGATATATGGAAGAGACGCCAAAGAACTGGAGTAAGCTCCGCTGCACATCTCTTGAGTACAGTAGCAAGAATTAGGCTGATGCTACTTCTATCATAGTGCCGGGAAACCTTGGTCGGTTACAATCTTTCCAGCGGTGGTAGGCTGCTGCTTGAGAAGTCCCCCTCAATCTGCATTGCGAACCGCTACATTACATTTGTTCCTAGACTCGACGTTGGCTGGTCTGGTATCCACAGTGAGCTTTTGTAAGAAAGTTTTTAGACAGCTGTCTGTCGACGAGTAGTATCTCAAGAGTCGTTGAACCAAACTTACAACGCTAGGCTCAGGAGGTTTCAGTGTATGAGGGATGTATTCCTCTACAAGAACCTAGATAACTTCAGTTATTGACGTACAGACAGACAAAGCATCCGAGTCAGCGAAACAAACATCTCTCCTAGGAAAGCTAGATAAAAAAGCCTTTGAGCCCTTCCTAGAGTCTATAAGAGATCCAACAGACTGCTAGCGCCCGCCGCAACGTTGCGGAAAAGGTGGGGGAAAATTAGGGCTGTCCAGCAGCTGGGTCAGTCCTTGGGTAATGGCGAATGCTTCAATGGCACGACCTGCTGCGTCAGTCTTGTTTGGAGACCTACCCCTGAAACGGGATGATGGATGTTCAAGAAGTCGATCTTGACAGCGCGGTATTCAAGCATGTCATCCGAGTTATCGTACAAGGGAGAGAGATAAAGGCAGCTAACAAATTTGAGGGTTGGCTTACCTCGCTCTTCCTCAAATTGGAAGGCACCTCGTAGTTTGGAAAACTAAGATGTTGCTTGGGGCAGAATCGGGGACTTTGGTCTCGATCAAGCATTGGGGGTCGATTTTGCTGAAGATAGTGATGAACAGCATCAATATTGCTGCTAATCTCGCAGATCTTCGTGAAGGAGATATTACCATCGATATTGTTTCCTCGGGTCCACTTCTGATATTGTTAGTACTCAAAGGGTCTGTCTTTATTTTTTGTGGTGAAGGGGAGGGGGGAAAATCAGCTAAGCAGCTTAGCTAGTAGCCAGTGGTACCGCCTCGGTCATCTGGTCCTTGTCTACCATCTTCTAATCTAGCCTTATATAGAACTCTGTAGGAATTCGTGACTTAACTTACCTATCAGTTCACTGCTTTCGCGAAGGTATTTTTTATTCTTCAAGATTACCTTTTTATTTCGTAGGTTGACATGTCGCCGGGTCACTGTTGGGCCATCAAAGGCAGCCAGGGCGGAGCCATCATCAAACTTATAGGAAGGGTCAAAGTAAACGCGGTCAGCATGGAGCATATTTCAAAAAACATTTCACCGACTGGCGAAGTTTCATCGGCACCTAAGGAATTCGGTGTTTGGGTAAGTTGTTGCGGTATTGGTTTTTAGTAGAAAGAGTTTTCTCAGGATTATGCCAGTGACGTTACGCAGCAGGGAGTAAGTGATGAGAACGAGCGACGTAACGGAACTGGAGGTTTTAAAAAAAGTACATTCATAACGATCCGACTGCCCTTTTAAAAGTACAAATTCAAATAAGTAAATTAATTTGACTATGTTATGGAGTCCATTTATTTTTGACATCAGTATAGATTATTTTGAGGCCAACTGAAAATAGTACGGGTACGCACATATGTGTATTATTCATGAATTCAGTATCCGAGAAATTGGTGGAACTAGTCACGAATTTTATTTTTAAAGTATAGATCAATGAGCCATTTCTTATAAAATTGTCGGATATAAAGAATAAGACTGCGCTTACAACAATGTATACAGTACACAAGGCTGAGCTATCCATGCCTCCGGTTCAAGAAGTTAAGACTACAGTACACACTTAAGTAGTCAGTGACTTTGTTAAGAAGATTTTTCAGTATCACGAAGAACCAATTTGAGTAAGCATGCGCATTCGCCAGATTTTTAACCGCTCCTGGGTGCTCCCTTTGGAAATATTCCAACAGTTGATTTACTGGTCATAGTCTAACCATATTAGACGAAAATACCCCTGGCTTGCGAAATAATTATCTGGTTTTGTGGGAAAACCTTTTAAAACAACGTGACTTCTGCTTGTAAAAGTAATATTATTCTTTACGCAATGAGTATATATGTTATATGGTCAAACGACAGCTGGGTGATGTTGATTGAAGTTAGCATTTTTGTTGTTAAAAGAACTACTTTCCGCATACATATTGAAACACTATACCATAAGCATGATTTAGTATTAAAAAAAATGACCCTGATGTAATTAAAGTAATTCGTAAAGTAAGTAATGGCATTGCTTTGAAAGGGAGATTACCTTTGCGTCATGCTGCCATAATACAAAAATACAAACTATGCAAAAAATGTCTATGATGTTGACGAAATGAGCATCTACGCTCAACAGTAACTTGATAAATACAAAAACTATGGATTAACTTAATTTTATAAGCATTATCTGCGACTCCAAGAGGTAGATACCTAATTTGACGCCGTATCGAAAACTTGAGCGTATTATCACCAGCAAAATTTCGGATGTATTTGAAATTATAAATAATGTATTAGGGACTAATACCGAGCATTTTGCTTAATTTTTCAAATGGTCAGTTCGCTACAATTGGTTGATATTTGCCTACTGTTTTTTCGTTTTCTCTAGTTTATTTTCCAACACTTTGAACTCGCAGTTGTTTTAGTCGTACCAGACTTCGAAAACAGACGTATAGCATATTCATATTTTAAGAAAAAGGGTCCAAGTGAACTACATTTCTTTGTGAAGAACCTAATTTAGGTGACCTACTTATTTGACAAAGTAACTATTCTAAGACAGTTAGAAATATAATTGTGTCTTCGGTTTGCGTGCTAACTTTATAAACAGTTCAGCGCATTTCAGTATGAAATATTTTTTTATGAACTTTAGGGCTTATCTGTGACCGTGTAAAAATCTCAGATCTAAATATGTATACATAAGAGTCTGAAGAAATCTTGAAAAAAAATTGTTTTCTTCCCAACAAAAGGGGATAGACACATCCGCTTTGTTTTAAAATTTGTATAATGACGTATGTTCTTACTCACAAATGCGAAATGTTTGAATTTGTTTAGAAGAAATAACGTAACCCTTCGTTTCTCGCATAAAAATAACAATTATCTTTCAGAATGGTTTGTGACTCATATCGGCAAGGTGAACTCGTGCATTTTGCTATAAAACGCCTTTTGAACGAACTCTGTATAGGTATTGCTCAGTAAACAATAGTTATGGCCGGAAGACAGGTGTTTTGGGATAAACAATTGGAAATTCTCAAAAACTACTAAACCAATCGACTCCAATTTTGTTGTGGTTACTCAGCAGTATGAAGTCTACGGATTTGGAGAATTTGAAATAGCTGCGTTAAATTATCATCGCATTAGCAAGTGCCAAAACCTCCATTTTCCCTCGGTTTTCGGCCATAACTTTTTTACTATTAGTCGAATTTTTTACATGTAGTCTCATTCTGTAGGTCTCATAAATACCTAAAAATCTTATTTGAAGAGTTATTCCGTTCCTGACAACACTTCCGATTGAATACAAAAAAACACATATCTCATTATTTGTTGTCGAATAAAAAGTTTTCCCAAAAATACTGGTGTACCCATTTTATGCGTTCATGTTCTAAATACCCCCTCAAACAGCTTGCATCAATAAAATCCGATTGACAATTTTTCGGGGAAATTTGCTAATATGATTAGAGTATCAGCTCAATATGAATATTTATCTGACAGACAATGACAAGACGCGACTTTGGTTCGACCTTGATGTTATTGCTTCTGCAAATAACTGTTGATTGAAATTATTGATAAATACATTTATTTTTCTAGGGAATGAGAAACGCCAAAGACAGGGGCGTTAGGCTCGGTACGTTTACTTACGATTCTGAAGGTGGTCTTGTGCAAACGTTTTCGATTGCGAATGACTACTATTTTGACCATGTTCAGCTAGAAATCCTGTCTAACCAAGGAAATCCCGAATACACTTGCATATACAGGTATAGATTACAGCCCATATATGAGCGTTGACTTCTGCCATTAATCCTATGATTCTTTTCTGTCATAAGACTAAAAGGGAAATACAACTGCCACCAATCGTGTCATGTGGCAATCTTTAGTCTCGAACTTTTATATCAATCGGTTATTTCATGCTTTGGAAGGAAAATAATCCCATTAGCTAGTTCGTCCGGGAAAATAAAGTTTCTGGAAATTATAGACTGTAAAATGTAGTAACTTCGACTAAAGCGACTCAGGCTGTTACGCTATTAGTATGACATCTTTTGTCAGTCTTTGCTATTTAACATGAATCAACGACAAAAGATCCACGTCTTTACTGCATTTCAGTATCCTGGTATGCAGATTCACCGGACAATCATATCGAAATTAATTCATGAGGTAAGTTGCCAACTTTACGCAAAAACGCCGGAACAAAACAGCCTCACGCTAACTTAATTACTACCCATCTCTGTTCAGCTTTATTCTATTATTCAAGAATATTTCAATCAATGATTTGAGTCTAACAACCTATTTCTACTTTTTACAGGTTTAGAGTTCATGGTGAGCTGGAAAGGGGATCTTTGGGCCCTTGAAGTATATTTTGAATTTTACACCTCTATTTTATTTTTTGCTTAACGTTGTATATTTTTTTATTATATTAAAACACATCAGGGCTGATCCGCCGTGTTTTACATGGACCAACAGAACTGGTGGGGCGATTACAGAGATAATTGAAAAATTAATGGCGGCTTCGATCCAGGAACGAATTTTTAATGGTTTGGACGCGAAATAATTTTAGCAATTGAATTAACGCCTGAATAAGCAACGCCGGGCACTACAGCGTTGTATAAAATGTTAGCTCGTTTATTATGCATCGGGACGAAACGGAATTCAAAATTCATTACGTTATTGGCACGGAACCTTTCACCTGTCAGAAATTTTCGTACTCATTGAATCTTTTTATTAAAAAATATATTTTCGTATTAATTTACAAGCGGTGACTTCTCCCATCATTGGTTGCATACTAAATGGATCAAAAATTATTTTCTTTATGTAATGTATGTTTCACGAGAACAGTGCCTGGGCAATTAAAAAGTTTGAAATTCTCTCACTTCATTTATCAGACTATAAAGGTTGGCACTTACGTTTTCGAGGTCAGTAACATCAAGGGATTTACCCCAGCGTGCTAATGCGTGGGTACACAGAAAACAGTATTTTAGTTGGAAGTTCAAATCTCAAATCGTAACTTTTTTTTGTTTCAGTTCTCACGTACTACTAATTTGTTTTATTCCGACCTATTCCAATAACATTTTGTACTGAGATCTGTGGATTTCATTGATATTTCCAGAATCTCTCAATTTATTTACAAGCGTTACAGGATCGGCTGTCGGTGTTAATTTTCGTGTACGAGTTTTTTCACCAATTTCAAAAATACGGCACCAAGGGTGCGTTTAAACAAGCTGCATGCATATGTTGCGCCCGACGTATGTACAAGCAACTATTTATATTTTTTCAATATAAGTTTCCTGAAAAGAGAATACTTATACACATAAAGAATGTTTTAATGAGTATTACCGAGTGGGGGCATCATAGTAATTGTAAATGGCAGGGCAAGCTTAGTGTTACGTGTTGAGATTACCTTAATCAACCGTGTTACCTGTCCAAATGCTGTCTGATTCAGGTGATTTGGTGAATTGTGTAGGGGAAGGACTTGTACGTTGAAGCTGGAAAGGCATCAAGTCAGTGTTGTCATTTATATTTACTACCTACGATAACCGGCCGTATGGTACTGGTTGTAGCATACTCTATGACATTTGATGGGCTATTTTATATTCACTAGTATCAATTCAATATTTTGATAATAAACAGTGGCATCGAAAAGGTTGACCCTGCACTATACTACGTTGTCATTACTCCATTGTGGGTTATGAAAACGCCCCCTATGCATCTTTTGTGTACGTTCTAGAACCACCACTAATCCCCTTATAAACGGATTAGTAGACGCCACGCAACTGTGTACAATAATTTCGATACATTTCTGAGCAACGCTGCAAAATGACCCATCGCCTCAGGCAGTCCGCGACGTAGATATGTACACGCGTGTATTGAAAATATTTCTATCACTCCAAGTTTTTATTATAAATCAATGATGTATAAATACGTCTAATGGGAACGTATAATTACTGGAGTTGGCAACGTGTGAATATTCTAACGCCAAAAAATTGAGACATACCCTTCTGCATCTCTTGCATTCCCTAACCCCCAATTTATAACCCCTACAAAAAAATTCCTCGAAAATGTTGAGGATTCTCAGACACGTCAAAACGGAAAAAATAAGTTTGGGCGATTTTTATTTTATTTTCGTCTTATGCCTTAGAATTCGCCGCCACTGGACCGATCTCCAAAGACTACAAGGCTTGTTCTCCTTGGTATAGTAGTAACCTTGTCTGAAAGATTCATAAAAAGTCCACCATCATTTTCCTAGTTATAGGCGGACCAAGGATTAGCGCACCAGCAGACATACCAACGGACATGTTTTTTCCTGATTCAAAACAATACCTGATTCTCAAAATGTTTCCCGATTATAACACTTTCTCCCTAGTATGCGTGGGAAGTAGAAGATAAGCCTGATCGCAATGGATTAATGTTCAATCGAATGAATGAAAAATTTATGAAGTTAAATACACCACTGGTTGCACGAAAAGTGGTGTACTTCATTCCCCGTTATTAGGTAAAGCTCGATTGTAGAGCCCTTCCGCTAATCAGTTGAATGTAATTTAATCTGCATAACACTCCGAAATGCCCTTTCATCTCCGCCGTACTTATTTCATTAAGCCATTTCGCCTAAGCGCCCAGCACATCAAAACAATTTCAGCGAAAACCCCGCAGCCGGGGTACTCACGATGAGAACTGAAAACTGCACGAGACAGTGGGAGCTAGCCATAAGGTGGATTTGGTATCTGTGTCAAACCGTGAGTTTTTGAGATATAAGCTATCGCAAATGGTCACGCGATCAGTTTTTGCTGTCATCTGTCATTTTATAATGGAATGTCGTGCAACTGAAGATAGGCTACATCGTGACCTACAGTTTGACACAAACTTGTTTAGTCAAAAGTCTCACGCTTTTACAGTTACACAGCAATCAATTTCTTATCAAAAAATCACACGTCGAGTTAAATTATCGCAATTTCTACAAATTAAAATTTTTTGTTTCAAAATATTCACAATTGATTGCTTCATATAAATCATATAAAGAATATCGAATTTTTTTTTCAAAATCAAAATAAAGTTCATTTAAAGCAACATATTTTCTTGGGAGATGTCAATATAAATATTTTGGACGATGATCCCATCACAAATGAATACTTGAATATCCTATCAAGTAACGGATTTCTGTCCTATATAAACCTACCTACAAGGTCCATCAGTGGCACATGTATAGATCACTGCTTTGTGAAAGACCTATCCAACAAAATTACTTGTATACCAATAATCCTAGAAAGCGATATTACTGACCACTTCTCCACTATTTTACTGATATCTTCAAATGAAAAACATTCTAACATCCCTACCGTTACTAACAACCAGGAAAATTACAAATTTTTTGTCGACAATTCAAAACTAATATCAAATGTCAAGCAAGAATCCTGGGAACAATTATACTCTATAAATAATACAGACAAAGCAACGGGACTGTTCATAGAGAAAATAAAAAAACTAATAGATATTAGTACCAATAAAGTAATAATTAGTCACAAAGAGAAAGGCAGAAATGCCTGGATTACCAAAGGATTAATAACATCGGCAATAGAAAAAGAAAGACTATATAATGTAATGAAACTAACGCCAACTACAGAGAATACCGGCTGCTACAACCAATACAAAAATAAATTTATAGAGCTTGTAAGGCAAACCAAACGAAAACATTACCTAAATAAATTGAATAATAACTTAAATGATCCTAAGTGGCTTTGGACAACTATTGATGAGATTACTGGGAAAACTAAAGTTAAAGAGTGTGTCACTGAGTTAAATACAACATCGGGAACAGTATTAAAAAATACTCAACAGATATGCGATGAATTTGTACAATTCTTTACTGACATAGGCGAAAATTTAGCAAGTAATATATAAGCAAATGTACAATATACTCAGCCTCCAAAAAGAACTTTGAACTCATTTATTTTGGATAAAGTCGAGCAATGTGAAGTATACACCACTGTTATGTCCTTAAAAAATCGGAAAAGTCCTGGGTTCGATGGTATTAAAAGCGAGCATTTGAAAATTATAGCCGAGGACATAACAGAACCACTCACTTACCTAATCAACAAATGCTTTGAATCTGGCATATATCCCTCAATTTTAAAAAAAGGTAATATAATACCGATACATAAATCAGGAACAAAAACAGATGTTAACAACTATAGACCAATATCAATAATATCCAGTGTAGCAAAGGTTTTTGAAAAAAGTTTTATCTACTAGAATGATTCGATACCTCACAAAATTCAAAATTTTAAGTGAAAATCAATATGGATTTACAGAAGGGAAGGCTACATCGGACGCAATAACTAAAATTGTAAATCAAATACATCAAAATATTGATAACAGAATCTCTTCAATCTGCATTTTTGTTGAGTTAAAGAAAGCTTTCGACACAGTTAATCACAAATTATTATTAGAAGCATTGGAGAGAATTGGTTTCAGAGGAAACGCGTACTCACTGATCGAAAGTTATTTGTCAAATCGCCCACAATCTGTGCAGATATCAGGATCATTTAGTAAAGAAATGTATATTAAGTGTGGTGTCCCACAAGGAACTGTCTTAGGTCCGCTGTTATTCAATATATATTTAAATGATATTTTCCAAATTAATTGTGTTGGCAAAATAACTAGTTTTGCAGATGATACTGCAATATTATATGAAGGCTCTGACTGGTCTGATCTGAAAAATGTAATTGAAAATGATTTTATCAAAATTATTCGGTGGTTTAACAGTAGAAAATTAAGCGTTAACTACTCTAAAATACATTTTTTACCATTTGGATCTTATGCTAGACATCTGCCAAATTACACAAATTTCTCCTTCAATATTAATGATCAAAAAATGCAAATTAATAGAGTGCCCAACATAAAATACCTTGGAGTGGTCTTGGATCCTCACTTACGATGGGACATCCATGTCAATTATATTTTAAAGAAAGTTAGATTTGTATCCTACAAAATTAGATACCTTGGGAATATATTGACAGAAAAATATCTTCGAACATTATACCATGCACTGATTGAGCCTCATCTCACATATGGTATATTAGCATGGGGAGCTGCATGTTCCTCACATATCTATAATTTAGATTTTTTTCAAAAAAGTATTCTAAAAATGATATTTAAAAAACCGAAACTTTATCCCACTGAAAAATTATACGCAGATGTTCGAATGTATGATATAAGACAGCTTTATTTCTTACACAGTATCACTCACTACCATAAATTTGTAAACACCGACCAAAAAATTAAACATAATCATTATACCAGGTACAAAATTCGTGGCACAGTAGTTCCTCAACCGCATAAATCTATAATGCAGCGATCATATCTCTATTTAGCGCCTAAATTTTATGAAATTATACCTAAAGACTTAAAAGATTTACGTTTCGGAAATTGTTTCAAAAGAAATT